TTTCTTCACCTCACATAGCTTTTCTTAATATTTATAATAGGGAAGCATTGAATGCCGTCGTTGAAGATAGAAACAGCACAATCAAGCAACCTGCTGCTTTATCAAACACTTGGGGGATGTTAAAGAACTATGGGAAACTTTAGGAAGCCACTTGATATTTTGTCATACAGTGAGGGGATATCAAAGCACACTAGGGAACTTCAGTTGGTCAGATATTTAGGGTTATTTTTCTGCTTCCCTACCAATTTCACCAGAATTTAGCCAGGAAAGGACAAGCTTTGATGGAATTTACGAGACTACAATTATTGAGGGCACCTAATATTTCAGGCTTTCTTCAAATGGAGCGAACGTTAATGGGTGAAATGAAAGGCTTTGCATGGGTTTTTTTTTTTTTTTAAAGAAAAACATACAATTAGACCATTTATCTTTGTTACTAGGTTGTCCCAATTAATCTTCACAAATTTGAAATTAGATGGTTGCATTTATTCCATTGACCAAGTTCAAATTCCAAAAGAAATTTTCTCAAATTTTGTGATAAACCCATGCTATCAGATTTTAACAGTGAATGGTTGTAAGTAATTTTGACCACCTTGTATCAATGGTCTAGTTGTATACAATCCCTTTTTGTATGTACCATGTTGAATCACCCATTTGCCTGAAAATTCAATAGGACCATTTAACTTTGATAGAAAAGAATGACAATCACCCCAAGTAGACATGTGAAATCAAACAACTGACGGCATGCCATTGATCTAGCTTAAACATCTGAAATCAAACAACTGACGGCATGCCATTGATCTAGCATAAAGTCTCATAAATATTTTATCGAACATTTAAGGCGAAATAAGACACCCCAACAACCAGATTTCACGGGGGGTGTCATTGATCTTTTTGTACTAAATGTGAACGGTAAATAGTGAGGATGATAGTCGACAGTAAATCATTTGTGATGGTGCATTAATTTCTATATAAACCACTTTGCAACTACAACCATCCCAAACCAAGACCGGTCATTATTACTACCATTTTTTGTGGAGAATAAAGAGTTTGGAGCAGGGGTTTGCTTGAAACCATTACAACCATCTCAAACCAAGACCGGCCATTATTACTACCCAAACCACATTTTGTAGTTAGAGAGAGAGAGACGGTATGAGAGTATTTCTTTAAATGGAGAAAGAGAGAGAGTGTGAGAGAATTACATTAAATGGAGAGAGAGAGAGAGTCGCGGAGACCAAAAAATGGTGAGAAGAAAAGAGAGGAAATTGGAGAGAGTGGAGGGAGAGAGAGAGAGGAAGAAGAAAAAAATGTCAGAAAGAAGAAAAGAGAAGAAAATGGGGAGTGTGATGGGGAAAAGAAAGAACGATGTAAAGGAACAAGATGAGAAAAGAAAATGGAGAGGGTAGCATAAAAAAAATGAAGACGAATAAATATAGAAAGAAAATGGAGAGAGATTGAGGAAAACATTCAAGAAATGATTGAGAGGGAAACATTCAAGAAAATGGAGAGAGATAGAAAATGGGGAGAGAGAGAGAAAGGAGAAAAGCAAGAGATGTAATTCAACAGCCAGTACAGAGAACCCTGACATTCATGTGTCACTGGACACAATGAATTTTTTAAGCCTCTCCCATTTAATTATTTATTGAATTTTGTTTATCAGTAATAATCCCCGCCGTCCATCCTCCCCAGAAAATAAGGTCACAATTCCCTGATTTCTCACCAAAAATTGTACTATAAGCAGAGTCATTGATTGTCATTTTTCCATATTTACCAAAAAGATTCTATCTTACCTACTTCCACCCCACAATAAATTCTCTCTAACCAACCCAATGTGTGTGTGAGAGAGACATATAAGTCAGAGAAAAAGAGGGGGAGACAATCATGTAGAGAAAGAGAGAGGAGAGATTTTCCTGTCGTACAAGAGGCTCTCCATCCCTACCTCACCCTCTAGAGAGAGATCCTTTTTTGTGAGGTTCTTCATCCCCACCTCACCACACTGCCCCTCAGAGAGGGAGATCCAATTTAGAGAGGTGAGAGAATATTTATTGACCAAGACTAACGAGAGAGAGAGAACTGAAGCCGAAAGGAAGAAGCATTTCTTCTGATGGCGGTGGCACCTCTTCACCCCATAGCAGAGGCGAACGAGCGGAGCCCATTTGGGGACTTCACCCCCGATCAATTCTATGATCGCCATGGCATCACCCACTCGTCGTCATTCATGCGCAACGCACGTGGCATGAACATCTTCACCCAGTCATGGCTCCCCATCAAGAATGACCATGATAGTAAGCAAGTAATGGGCATTGTGTGTGTGGTACATGGGTTCACAGGGGAGAGTAGCTGGTTTGTTCAGCTCACAGCAGTGGCCATGGCAAAGCAGGGGTTTGCGTGCTGCGCTCTCGACCACCAGGGCCATGGCTTGTCGGATGGCCTCTCTACTCACATCCCCAACATCGAACCTGTCCTCGATGACTGCCAGGCATGGATGCCTCCCACCCCTCTCTGTCTCTCTCTCTCTCACACACACAAACATAATCCATGGTCGTCCATTCAAATTCTCTCATCATCCACGTCTGGCAATTCAAACTCTCCCCCTCTCATCATACATGGCTGCCAATTCTCTCTCTCTCTCTCACACACACTGGTTCAGTGGCAAGATTAGCTCTATTTCTAGGTTTTTCCTATCAAATAAATGGTTACAACAGCCTATAAAGCCCTGTGACAGCTATTGCAATGGCTGACATGAGTGCAACACCATTTTTCTAAAGGTTTGAGAAGACTATAATCAAACGGGCTAAGGAAGAACTGTAGTTCATTGGGTCATCATCATCAGATCCAGATGGATGACGTGGAGTGAGGGAGGACCTGCCGAAAGAATAAGGCCTTATTGTGGGAGGTCCCAATCTCCACCGTATTTTTCAAAATCCAATAGATTATAGTTATGCTTTTTCGAATAAATCTAAAATCCTGTCTGAATGATATCTGAAAGAGCCTGGCCATAGGCTTTGAATGTTACGTGACATATCACTGCAAATGTCAAAGAATAACAGCCGTTGCACCTATTATATAGTACATTACAGCAAATTCACCAGTTACACTGTTATAACAGTTCTGGACCTTGGCTGATATAATGGTGCAGCACCATTTTTATAACTTCATCTCGATCACAACTCTCAAGGCCCATGTCATGGTTAGCATTGAAGTGACAATTATGATATCTGACATGTAGATTTATCAAGCCTAATGCTGTGGTTAATGTTGTAAAAACAATTATGACCTATTATATGTGATATTGTGACAATCAGTGTTCTAAAACTCTGTGGCTCGGGCCAGGACAAACCTGGTTCAAAAACCTCTGCAGTCTCATGGAGTAATGGACCCTGCTATGTTATTTCCACAAAGACTTGGCAGAGTCAGACCACTGACTCAAGCTCAGGACCACAGCGGGTCTGATCCTTGTTTCTAATTTTTTATGACACTTATGATGTGTCGGCCTAATGTCATTTTCCAAACCTTGTGATTTACAGGCTTTCTTCTCTAACTTCCGCTCGCGCTTCCCCCCCTCATTACCAGCCTTCCTCTATGCCGAATCCCTCGGGGGTGCCATGGCCCTCTTCCTCCACCTCCGCGACAAGCGCTCGTGGTCTGGCCTCATCCTCAATGGTGCAATGTGCGGGATCAGCCCACGCTTCAAACCTCCATGGCCCCTTGAGCACCTTCTATGGATTGCCGCTGCCGTTGCGCCCACCTGGCGCCTGGTCCCCACGCGCGGCATACCGCGTGCCTCATTCAAAGAAGAGTGGAAGTTCAGACTTGCAGTGGCGAGCCCTTACCGGACCGCGAGGAAGCCGAGGGCGGGGACCGCACTTGAGCTCCTAAGGATTTGCAAAGTGTTGCAAGAGCGATTCGAGGAGGTGGAGGCACCAATGCTCGTGGTTCACGGTGAGGAAGACAGAGTCTGTGATCCAAAGGGAGTGGAAGAGCTCGTGAGGAGGGCAGGGAGTAAGGACAAGACACTGAAGATTTATGAGGGGATGTGGCATCAGCTGGTGGGGGAGCCTCAGGAGAATGTAGAGAAGGTGTTTGGAGACATCATTAATTGGCTTAAGGAGCGGGCCACACGAGCTAGAGCTCATGCCGGTGCCCAATAGTTTTAATAGTTGGCTTCATGCTCGATAAGGGTATATACTCCAGTTTCAATATAAACTTTAGGGGTATGCTATCAAGGGTACGTACCAAGCATGAAGATGTATCTCATCAATCGAAAAAGCATCAATGTCTCAGATTTATCACATGCTGAACAAGCACAGTAAACATCTACTTTTAGTGACCAGTTTGAAACCTCCTTAGAAACGGTTTGAAGACAATAATGTTTACATCACTAGATTTGAGTAGAAATTACAGGTCAATAGATCTGCACCCACAGATACTTTTTTCCCCCTGGTTCTAAGGAACACTGAGTTTACAGTCTCCATTAATCCCTGAAGATAATAAATATCTTTTTCTATAGCCCATGAAGATAATGAATATCAGCGAAGTAGAAAATTCATCTCACCAGATCTGCCTCTTATACAAACTTGCTTTGTTGGGGCCTAGTTCTTAGGAACGTGAGCTTTATAGTCTCTCCTTATCTGGATCCATAAAGATTACAATAGTGGCTTGTTTATAGCACAAGAGAAATTTCATGTCATTATCTGCCTCTCATACACATAACCCATCAGGGCCTAGTTCATAGGTGTGAGCTTTATAGGCTCTTTTTCTCGTGATCTTTGAAGATAATAATGGTGGCAATAACTTGAGTTGAATAGAAATTTCATGTCTTCGAATGTGCCTCTTACATAAACTGGCTTAGTGGCTTTGTTGAGCCCCAGTTTCTTAGGAACGCAAGCTTTATAGTGTCTATTTCTCTTGATCTAACTGATGCATTCACCATGGACTTCATATTCACTCAGCTCTATGAACTCTACTTCATTGTGTGAAGCCCACTTCTTTTTTCTCCCCCTTTTCAGACTTCGTTTATAGGCAGAGGTCTACTAATCAATTTTTTAGGTGAATTTTTTTTCTTTTGGTGACAGACTTATTGATGTCACATCCACAGACCAAGGGGCATGGATTTCTGATGTAAAGGGTTCCCGGACCTCTCTTCCTCACATTCATTCATTAACACGTAGCTCAGTTCTCAGGACCACCAATAAAATTTTGAACTTCACATGTTTAGGTCTTTAGGAGTGATATACCATTTCCATTGAAACCACTAGAAATAATTGTGTATCACGCACAAAAAAATCCAACATGGCTTTCAGTGCTTTCTTCAAGATAAAATGAGGATTCAAGCCCAAAAGAAATGAATCATGAACAAAGATCCACACGAGAAGGCCCATAATAGGTTCAGATCCGATTTATTATTATACAAGCCACTTTTCAAGTTTCAGACAAAGATGGGAGAGATTGAGCATGGGTTTAAATCAGAGAAATGAAAACTACCATCCCTTTGAACTGAGAGAAGCAATTACCGGACCAAGCGCCTTGTCCACACCTCTATTCCACAAATGCACGAGATCTGAGCGAAACTTCTTACCAAACTTGGGCTCTGATGACTGCAAAAATACAAAAAAGAACATGAGGTCACACTAACTCAAAATTCTAGAGTATGAGAGAGAGAGAGAACCATAATGGTTATTAAGCAAAAAGTGGGTCAAAAAGATGACCACTGCTGTCTTATTAGTAAGTACCAGCACAAAGGTTGTGGCCTAAATAACACGTCAAGGAAGCTCACTCCCTCCCTCCCTCCCTCCCTCCCTCCCTCCCTCAAATCAAGAGAAAGAACCCAGCTTGACTATCAGAAAAAGGAGAAGTGTACAAAGGAAAACCAAATTCTAGAGGATAAACTAGAAGACTGACCACCTATTTTATGCAAATCAAAGCTTGGAATGCAGAATGGATGTTAGCAAAGAAATGAGAGACAAATAAGTGTTTTGCTACTATAATGGAAGAACTGGAAAACCAGTATGCAGGTTTCAACCAAACCCTCTTGAAGCATGGAAGTCAAATAGAAAATGGCAGGGATAGGAAAGGGAGGGAGGACATTGAGTTGGAAGAATTCTGGATTACAGAACCAGAAAATGAATTCCCTAAATCTCACTTAAAAAGGCCACATAGCTGAAAATCCTTATGTTGCAGTGAGAGAGAGGAAAAGAGGAACTGATATTCCAACTCTAGTATCCAATCGTCTTTGGGACTCAAAATTCCCTCTCAACTTGTGCCGCCTCCCCCATCTTCATGGTTTTTATTTTTTGAGAGGGTTTCATTTAACCATTCAAACTGGTTTGCTAGTTGAAAGAGACAGCTCCACTTCAACTCACTCTTCTCTTCTCCTTCCTCAATTCCTTGCCCCCAAACCCCCTGCCCCCATTTCTTATATCTTTAAATGTGTCTGTGGCTATATGCATGTGTGCTATCAAGGATGGTTTGAGACAAGTTATTCTCCATGTTGCACAAAGAGAGAGAGAGAGAGAGAGACACCAGGATAAGCAAGCGCATAAGCCAGACAAGCAACCTGCCCACTGCCCCATGTTGTATCAAACACTAGCAACCCAAGTAGGAAACTGAGACAATGAAAATACGAAGTGGATAATAACTGCATATAAAAGAGAAGCGTAAATTTGTGCAAACAAATGCATTGCTTGCTAATAACGATCACCTCAGAGTCACAGCCATTTACTTATTCCTAGTTTACGTTCCTGGTATAGTTCTTGCTTTGTAGCAATTTAGTTTCTTTTATCCTCATCACAGAACATTGCTTTCATCCAACTGTCTAGACACTGAACTTAAATTGTACACAAAAAGTTGTTTCACAACCCTGCTACAAACAATGAAGGCATCTCAAATCAAATATTTACATCATAATCATACGTATCACATTTTACCTTTTACTTCCAGTGGTGCATTAGTAGGACAATTGGGAGATTTTTTTTAAAAATGAACTTGATATGAGTTTGAAGAAAAATTCATCAATTGGATCAAAAGATGTTGCACAGCACCCAAACTGCATTATAATTATGGGCATGGTCTATACTAAAAATATAGGTTTATAATAATTGTTTGTAGTTATAACTCTATGATATGTACTAAATAAGTAAAAAACGGGTTAATAATAATTGGTTGTAGTTATAATTCTACTATATATAATAAATAAGTTTATTATGCTTGCTAAATGATGAGAGTGGAAGCTACAACCATTCTATTTGTTTACGCATATTTGGAATTATTTTTTTGCAATTTAATCATTAGTTTAGTAAGCTAATGGGCCTAAAATCTTTTAGGAAGCTAATGGGCCTAAAATCTTTTAGGTCATGGGCTCCTTCTACCTTGGGGATTAGGGCTATGAAGGTTCTATTCATGTCTTTGTTGATGATGCCACTATGGTAGAAGTCTTGGACAAAGGCAGAGGTATCAGGCATTAGTAACTCAGAGAAGATGGAGTAAAAAGTAATTGGGAAGCTGTCAGGACCAGGGCCCTTGTCTTTTCCCAAAGAATTGATGGCGGCTGAGATTTCGTTAGTGCCGTTAGGTGCCATGAGGGAGATAGCTTGCTCATTGGAAAGGGAAAGGAAGGAAAAGTCAGTCATGTGTGGACCCATAGCTTGCTCATTGGAAAGGGAAAGGAAGGAGAAGTCAGTCATGTGTGGACCCATAGCTTGCTCATTGGAAAGGGAAAGGAAGGAGAAGTAAGTCATGTGTGGCCTGGGTCCAGTATATGCCGAGAAAAGGTTCTGGAAAAAGGAGACAGTGGCTGTTTCTATGGCTGCAGCATCTGAGAAGGAATGGGGGCCAATGGAAATTTGCGAGATAGTGTTGGCTCTCCATCTACAGCTGGCAATGCAATGAAAAAGTGTGTGTTCTTGTCTCCAGCTGTTAACCATTTGATACGGGATCTTTGGTGCCGAAAGATTTCTTCTTTCTTGAGGGTAAGACAGTATTCTAATCTCGCTTTCTCTCAGTCATGAGTTTCCCGTGGTGTAAGTGATCTGGTCTATTCGGTGTTGTCTAGGTTGGTTATGTCTTGTAGAAGGCTGTTTTTAGTGTGTGAAAAGTTGTTCTGTCTGTAGCAAGTTTTGATAGCTTCTTTAAGAAGTTTGATTTTCCTTTGTAACCTGAAACCAGCCCAACCATAGACTGAGGTGGTGGTCCAAAAATCCAATACCAAGGTGATGAAGTTTGGGTCTTCTATCCAGAAAATTTTGAATCTGAAGGGTTTGGGAACTCGAGCTGTGGGGACGATGTCTAAAAGGATAGGTTTGTCGTCTGAGGTTGTTTTAGGTGAAGTGCATGAGTGGTACCTGAGAACTTGGCTTCCCCCTCGGGGGAGACGATGAAACAGTCCAGTTTGGTAAGAATTGGGTTGGCTGAGTGATTGGACCATGTGAATGAGGATCCATTAAGAGCTATTTCTACAAGTTGGTTATGGGATATGAAGTTGGAAAAGGTGGACATCGCTGGGTGATGTTTGGGTTGTTGTTGGATTCATGGGACCATCTAATGATATTAAAATCACCCCCTAATGCCCATGGGTTAAGAGATAGGGCAGTTATGGTGTTAAGTTCTTCCCAAAAGGCTGCTCTAATCTTCCAGACCAGGATGCTCATTCGAGGGGTTGGAAAGTGGGCCTTGGCGCTTGGGGTAGCATCTAGGCGAAGCAAGAGTTAGGAAAGATGGGGGTGGGCCAATAACCGGTGGGCCAATACCGAAATTTTAATAAATCCGATCCAAAATGTAGATTCCATACCTCCAAAATCCTCTCTCTCACAACCAACTCTATACAAAATGGAAGAGGGAGGAGAGCGCTAGACGAGTGGAACGTGTGGGCTTTGTCAGGCCACATCCCAGACTAGCTAGGGCCATCCACATGTGGGGCCTTGGCCATTGCCCCCCCCCGAAAACATGTGGGTCCCACATGTTTTAAAAAGCACATAAAAATTATAAACAACTTTTTTATAATAAACAATATTTTTAATTGCTAAAAAATAATTTAATTGTATGAAAAATTCTCAAGGCATAAATAAAAATTGGAAAAAATATCTTTAGGGTCTCATAACTTTCCAAACCACAAATAAAGAATTTGGTACAAACAGGTCCAGAATATGCGATTTCTAAGGCAATCAACCTATGCTAAAAATCTATGACCCACAAACCATTTTCTCAAACCAACCCAATAGGACCCATGACCCACAGTCAATCACAGGGCCTACTGATTGGCCCATCCATGTTGGTCAATAAAAAGCATGGACACAAATTTGGTATGTGGACTTCAAGTTCCTCCCTTAAAGACAAATCATATCCATAAGGATAAATGCATAGTATCACAACAACGCTGGGGGTACTCTCTTCAGCACATGTACACGACCCACCCCGGGTAGCTTCCCATAACAGTGTCTATCATGTGTGTGTATGTTGGGGATTTGGCCCTTAGCCTTATAAACCTCCAAGCACACGAAGGAGATCACCAGCCTTCAAGCTCACAACATCATCCCTGAACGTCTCTCCAACCTCAACGAGGGATGATCCTACAATCGACCCCTCAACGGCTGTGCCATATGCCCAAAGGTAAGGGTTTTGGACTCGATCCCAGGTCTAGACCACTCAATCCAAATGAGTTCAAATCATAAAATGCCATACTAGTCCTACATGAACCGCACTCCCATTGGAGTACATATTCACTAGAATCATAAACGCATGACTTCTACATGCTCTCAAGGCCTTTAAAGACCACAAACCCCAACAAAAAATGTAACATTTACCACTTCCAATCCTGTACTGGCCTTGAGAAAACTCATTTAAAACAAACATACATACATCTTTTTAATAATAGCACCATTGAAAAAATGCCTATTTAATTTCAACACCGTTGAGAAATTCAAATTATCCATTCTTTAAATGCAACTTCTTAGATCGACCCTTTACATATCTAGGTTTGCCATTATTTCAAGGTAAATTCACCTCCATACTTCACCAGCCCATTACTGGTAAAACTATATCCAAATTAGAAGGATGAAAATTGACACACTTCTATATCCTAGAGACTCACCTTGCACACCTCATGCCTTAACCCAATCCCAAACCATTGGTTTTCCATCATCAAACTACCCTCCACCACAATTTACACCCTAGAGAGACTATAGAGGAACTTCCATTGAGGCAACCATCAAAACCAAAACAGCCAAACCATATAAAATGGACCACCATATCCAAACCAAAGACTGAAGTGGACTTCGTATCAAATGAATCGAGGACATCAACATGGCCTTGCCAAACTTGGATTGAAATTGGATAGGAAGCCAATACATGCGAACACGATTAATAAGAAGAAGTAAGTGTCTTAGGAGAAAGAAATATGGAATTTCAAAATTGTTGGAAGCGAACCCAGGGCTTGAAAAAGCTACAAGAAACAATCTCATTAATAAAGAAAGTAGCCGATAGCTCATAGGAAATGATTCAAATATTGAGTGTTGGTTTGATCCTTTGCTAGATGAGGGGTCCTTGTACGATCTGCATGGGATAAAACTCAAAAGCAGCTTGAGCCTTAGAAGAACCCTAGGCATCTCTCAAGTGAGAGGAGATTGCAGGTTTGGAAGCTAAAATTAGAAAATGCCTCCTACCGCTAGAGCAGGAGGGAAGAACTTAGAAGCACGATTGTACAAACCCTAATAAATAACTCCCAAATATTTCAAGACATTTTTTATTAATAAGTGACTCCCAAAAGTTTGAACATCGCATGTAGCTTCAGTTTTAGGCTCTAGCACCTTGCAATGAAGGGGTACTATCCAGCACGTAGAACCTTTTTGTAACGCTAAAAAGCAGTACAGTAAGAAACAGGTTTCACAATATTGCACCAAAGAAAGAATCAAGTCATGAATATTGGGCCAGCTTTCTAGCAGCTCCAAACATATATAATATACATGTTCCTGGAGACATCCAACCGTCCTATCTTGATAGAATGGCTAAGAGTGAGTTGACAACAATGTTGGACATCAATTATGGCCTGGCAAACGCATTAAACGGTTACATTGTTCTCAACACACTCCCAGCCATCCGATCTTGGCCTCCAAACGGATATAAATTATATGGATTCACCATGAAAATATATTATTCACCTCAACTTACAAACATCATATTTTCCAGAGTTATTACACAATCTATCCCTCTCATGCTTGCAGTGATTTGGTGAATTTTGCATAAGCCCCAACAAATCTACAATTAAGTATAAACTAATAATAAACAACAACAACCTTTTGCAGATTTTCACATGCAAAATCGGAAATAAAAAGGACGAAATGTAGTCAAAAAAATTCAGATGAAATTCACATGCACCCCAACCATAACTGATCATAAAATCCACATGAACTATTAAAGAAATGTGAAAACAGAAGAAAGAAATTCCTACCACAAAAATAGAACGCATTGGGTGCCCAAAAAAAAAAAAATAAGAATATATATATATATATAGCTTTAAAAATGGGAATTGGAGTTATTCTGATTTAGCTAAAAAAACAGAATAGTGAAATAGGCCGTCAGGTTTAGGGTTTCATGAATGTACCTTAATAGTGGTTTTAGAGTGAGAATCTGAAATGGAGGCGTAAACATTCTTCCGCTCCTTGTAAACAATGGCAGTAGCAAGAAACGCTCCAAGCGTGGCTCCGAGGAGACGCTCCTGAAAAAACAGGATATAAGAGTTTGGTAGAGAGAGAGAGTGCGTGTGTGCGTGTTTAGAGAGAGATAACTGGATGGAAGGATTGCTGAGGTCCTGGAAAAACCGGGATACAACACGTTTGGTAGAGAGAAAGCTTTTAGAGATAGAATTGTGGCGGAGTGGCATACCTGAGACAGAATGCTGATCATAGTGTGGCATAGGCTACGAAGGGAAATGGGTTTCTTCGAATACGCTCTTGGAGAGGTGAAAAATAACCTCTCTCTCTCTCTCTCTCTCTCTCTCTCTCTCTAGCTAAAATCCTAAAAAAATAGTGCTCGGACCAGGGGTGAAAACGAGTCGTGTCGGGTCGGGTCGGCGGATCCAACGGGACCCATACCAAAAAATATAGGGTGGGACCTGGACCCAACTCAAAAATTAAAATGTCCATGTATTTAAATATATTTTATATATTAGACCCAAAAAATATAACCGGACCCAAATAGTATTCAGGTCCAAGATTTGGATCGGAAACCAACTGCACGGGTCCAATTGTTTGACCCATACCAGACTTAGATCGGGCTTATCCCTCGGGTCCCATTCCATTGTCACCTAGGGGTGGCTACGGGTGAGGTATGGGTGGGATCTAGCTGGACCTGGACCCAAACCCAGACCTAAATGTATTCAAGTCTATGTTTGGGCCCATACCCGACCCATTGGGTCCAAAAGTTAGACCGTACCCGTATCCGTTGGGTCCCGGGTCTATCCCGTCAAGTCTTGGGTCTGGTTGGGTCCATTGTCACCCTCCCTAAGAGCTTCTCTTTTTATTTTTTTGCCCTTTCTTTATCGTCATATATTTAAATTATGGCAACAATGTCACAACCTGCCATTAGATTTCAAGTTGTCTTATTTGTCATTTAATAGCTAAAGATGATTATGAATTCTTATTGTAACGATCTTTAATATACCAAAACGAATAGACCCTGGAGTATTTTATCTCCAACTGTTTATGGGTATGAGTCGGGTCCAATAGAACTTGGACTCGAATAGTGTTTGGGTCCAAGCTTTAGACCCGAACCCAATCCACTGAGTCCAAATGTTGGACCCATACCCATACCCCTTCGGGTATTACGCAACGGGTCCTGGGTCTGATCCTGGTCCATTGCCACCATTATGGCCACCCCTACTCGGACGTGGGAACACCCTAAAATTGATTGTTTCAACTATCGGCATGAAGATTTGACTGGTTGTTGAATCGGTGAAGGATTTGGTTTAGTCAAAATTTGTAGAATCAATTATCAAATTGATTAGACTATATTTTAGAAATATAAATAATATTTAAAATATTAAGAAAAGTTTATCTGTTTCATTTAACTGGCCAAACCAATAAAAAACCAAACAGCCGTACTACTTTTGGCTTTAGACAATACTAGCCAACACACTGATTAACGGTCCAAGGTCGGACTGGGTGGTCTGGATATCTATGATGTCAACCTTGAGAATTGATGTGCATCTTATAAAATGCCTAACTAGGTTGGCCATTTCCAGGTATTTATGGTACATTTTTTTTAATGATTATTTTTTCTTAATTGGGGTGTGAAAATAGATTTTCAATAAGGAAAATGGTTTGATAGAGATGCATCTCTATCAAAACAAGTAAAGCCTCACCTCATAACTCGTAAAAAATTACAAATCAAGCATTAGAAAATATTTATATCAATCATCTTGACTTGAATATTATGGCTGTGAAAAATATATAGGATTTCAAACTCTAAAAATAGTGCACATTATAACAAATTATCTAGATTCCACGAGATTTGTATCATTTTTTGAATTTCAAATTTTAGATTGAAATTTGATTATAGAGCCAATATAGAAATTTTTATTGCCAAAAAATGCTTTCCGGATGAGGATTTGAAATAATAGTATATTTTATTTTATTTACATAAAGCCTAGGGCTTATAGAAACCTCATCCTTTCAAGAAGACTCATCCAACATTGGGAGGTGCAGCGCTTAGTTTTTTTCGTAAAGCTGCGCCTTATACAAATTACACGTTGTGTAAAACATGCTCCTGCAAGGGTATATTGTGTACATGCTTCCTCAAGCGAAAGAGGTAGATGATTTACATTGACCTAGAACTTTGCGATCCTCCCGGGAGTTTTAGTAAAGGGAAAAAGCTTATATAAGCAAGATGCATCTCAAAACTGTATTAAAAAATATTATGCTGGTACTAGAATAGAAAAGGTTTTCAAGAAAAAAAAAAAAAAGTAGTGGATCGTGCAACACCTTATCTCGATTCTCTATTTCCAATATCTTAAAAGTGTTTATAAATTTGTTTGAATTGCAACATCGTTGAAATTTAATTTTGTAATTAGTTGTAGAAGCAGATGTTCATGCTAACATAGGAGTTTCCAACATTGAAACTTCATCTTTTAATAGGGTTTCGAGGCTCGTCTTACTTTATTTTTTGAGTTGCAATCATTTATAGCCATCATATGTGAAATCAAAATAGGTGGCAGTGAATAACATTACTACCGAAGCACTATGGCCTTATTGTATGCATCCCCATTTATAACTCATCAGTCATTAACTTGATTCATTATTTAGTGAGAAAATGAGATTGCACGTTATATTAACATTTTGTTTTTGCATAAAAAGGTCACAAGTCACCCTTAATATTGGGATGCGAGCTTAACTTTGTATCATTGATTATGCTCAAATTTCAATTTTTCTTTATTGCCTATGTAAGCGCACATCTGCAGGCTCGATTTCATGTCTAACAACTAATACTGATTACTCAGAGTGTTATGCACTAAAAAAAAGGCCTAAGATTTATTAAAAAAGTCTAAAAACATTATATGTTATGATAGAATTTGGAGGTGTGCCTTAATTGGATTATTTAAGGTTGCAACCTTATAGAAACTACACCATTTACATAACTCTATTCCCTACAAATTAGGGGTGGCAACGGGTTGGGTTGGGTCCGACTGGACTCGAACTTGATCCCAAAATAGAATGTGATACCCAGACCCGGACCCAACCAAAAAATTAAACTATTTTATGCATTTAATTATATTTAAATATATTTCATATATTGAGACTTGAAAAATATTATCAGATCCGAACTCGATTGAACCAAAACCTACACCCGAATAGTGTTCGGGTCCAAGACTTGGACCACCGAGTCCAATTTTTTTACACCCCTCGGGTCGTGGGTCGGGTTTAGGTCCATTGTCAACCTACCACAACACCATGCTCTCTCTATCATCCACCGAGCTTTGCCACTCTTCCTTTCAGCAATAACAATGGTCTCTCTCTCTTCACACAATATTTAGGTTGAGGTGTCGGTTGGACCTAAACCCAAACCTGACTTGGACCTAAATGCGAACGTGATGCAACCAATTTGCACCCTTAGAGAGTTAGAGGCTCTAAACCATAAAAGTGAAGCGCACATTCAAGTAGTATAAAAAAAAATATGGTTTCAATATTGAAAACCTTTGTGATAGCCTTAAAATCTATTTTCATATTTAATTATAAGATTTAAAATTTAAAAAATAATGTAGATTGAGCATATATATGAAAACTTGAAAATTTTGAAAATTAACGGTAAAAAAATATATTACAAAATGCATTATTTCTAAACTTGAAATCAAAATTTTCCTCATGCCCATGCATCTTGATGTCGAGATATCAATTTGAGGATATTTTACGCATCAAAACAACATCTTTTAGTGAAATATTTGAGGTGGGCTCTAATTTGATTGTTTGGAGCCTTGGTTCTATATAATATTTTTCCATTAATTAATGTGTTGATTGGGTTAGATTAATGCAGTCACTTAATTAATACCTCGCGTTGAACACAAGGGAATGAGAGCAATCTTAGAGAGAGAAGAGAGAGACCAACTTCAAGAGTGCCCAATCAAGAGAGAGCAAAAATTAGAGAGAGAAAGAAAAGGAGAGAGAGGGGCCAACTTCAACAGTGCCCATCCAAATAAAGAGGAAGAACAAAAATATTGAGAGAGAAGATAGAAACAAACTTCAATAAAGGGAGGAGAGAGACCAACTTTAGAGAGAGATCAAACTTTAGAGAAAGAGAGGAGAGAATTTAGAGAATTTTAGTTAAAAATTTGAGAGAGAGAGAATGGGAGAAATTTTAGAGAGAGAAGCAGGGGCCTCAAAACTAAATTTCAGAGAGAGGAGAGAGATACCAATTCTAGAGTGAGAGCGAAAGGAAATGTAGAGACATAGAGAGAGAACCAATGAAGATAGCAATTTTAGAGAGAGAATCTAGGGCCTCAAACCTCCTTCCATTTTAGAGAGAGACTCTGGTGAGAGGCGGTGACTCATACTATCCACGTGGTACTTTCCGATTCGCATTATGTTTGCGTCAATTCTATTTCCCAATCAAATTTCGCCACGTTTACAACACACTGTGTCATTTAGAGATCAAATTCCGACGTGGCACTCTCATTCTTCCGCGATAAACCCTCGGATCCACTTCCAATATTTGTCTACCTCAACAAAACCAGAGCCCCACTGTTTCTGAAACCCTAATTAGGGCTTTATTTCTTGCCCTTTTGTTTCTGTGAATTCGTTTAGAGATCCTTTGATCCACATTAGGTTATTATTTGCATTTTTCTCTGAGAAGCCATGGCTACAACGCCTAAGCTTCTGCTCCTTCTCTGCTTATTTGCACTAATTCTCTCCTATGTCTCCTCTGCAACTTCTTCGAATGGATCCCCAAAAGGCACGGATGATCTAGACCCTGAAGACTTCGAATTCCTTGAAGAAGATGATGAAGCATCGGTTGGCCAGAACTTGAATGAGGAGCAATTCGATGGTGAAGAACATGAAGGGTTTGGTGATTTTGAAGGATCAGAGAGTGATCATGACCACGAGCATTACTCGATGCCCAAGGTTGATGAGAGAGATGTGGTGGTTTTGAGAGAGGGCAATTTCAGTGAGTTTATAGGGAAGAATAAGTTTGTACTGGTGGAGTTTTATGCTACATGGTGCGGTCATTGTCAAGCTCTTGCTCCGGAATATGCAGCTGCTGCTACAGAGTTGAAGGGGATGGCTTCGCTTGCAAAGGTTGATGCAATAGAGGATAGTGACCTTGCTCAAAAGTATGAAGTTCAAGGTTTCCCAACTCTGTATTTCTTTGTTGATGGGGTTCACAAGTCTTACAGTGGGCAGAGAACTAAGTAAGATTTCCAATCTGGTTTTTAAATTTAGCTTAGAGTTGAGGTCCTTCCTATAATTCCATGCTGCTTTTTTTTTTTTCTATTTATTGCTCTTTGTTTTTTGTAACTTCTTTTCTGTTTGTTTTTTTCTAGGTCTCAAATTCGTGTTAAAATCATTTGTTCCTGAGATGAGCTTCCTTTTCTGAAGGGTTTATTTTGGTCTATTTGAATTTGACATTTCAGATTTGAGCAAGGAATGATGTTTGGGGAAGCTCTGTGATTATGACCATGAACCTTGAACCTTTTTTTTCTTGAGAAAAAGGTTAACTTTATATATATTAAGTATTGGTTACAGCAAAACAATATAGATTTTCCTTAGATGGTTTTTATAATTGGTAAAGAACTCATAAAATGTTATTATTATACTGTTCTAAATGAGATTTATAGGTAAGAAGAAGAAGCATGTTATTATTATACTGTTCTAAATGAGATTTATAGGTAAGAAGAAGAAGCAAGATGTTAGATCTGGTGTGAGTGATCGATTTCCTGGTCGTGTTTCTAAGATCTTATTTTTATTTAATATTATGCAACTTTGTAGATTTTATGATCCATTCTGAAGCAAATTTCAACATGATCTAGAAGAGTCAATAGATCAAAGAGCGCTAGCAGAATCATATATCTGTCATAGGATATCAGTTTTCATCCACATTAGTTTTATTTTTCACAAGAGCATTTGTCTATATCATTTTCCCATAAGTAATTCTGCCCATCCCTTTGGATAAATTTCATATTGTACGTTAGATCTGTATCTTTGTGGCATCATTTGACATTCCTGTGATTTTTAAAGTACTCATCTAATTAGTCTATTTGTAAATTGAACATGGTTTCCTCGAGCAATTATTGACGAGCAAAATTATGAACTTTTCCTGGGTCTTAAAGGACTTATGGCAGTGTCTTATAACTCCTCAAGTCCTCAAGTACTCTAAGGAAATGGTTTATTGTGGTTTTCTTGTCTACAATGTCCTTATCGGCATTTGGCAAAATGAATCATGAAAAAATGGAAATCCGCTAACAAAAAATATAACAATATACAATATTTGAGCTCGGAAGAAAAAATATAAAAAATAAGGAAGCTATGGGCAAATTCAAGCATAAACAATCATGTTGCTGGTTCCTAAGAGATTTTCCAGCTTGATAAAGGATTTGCATTAGCACGTTTTTTTCTTCAATAAGAATAAAAAAATAAAAGCATTATATTAACTGGAAAGTTTATCAAAAGACATCCGTAATTTGTGTACGGACTAAATTTTCCAATGGTCTGGCCTTCTCTTTTAACTGAATTTGATAAGATTGATTGTTTTCTTCTCAAGTTGTGAACCATGTGTTCATGATTGATATGCTCTAATCTGCAGAGATGCAATAGTAACTTGGGTGAAGAAGAAGACTGGGCCTGGTGTCTCCAATCTTACAACGATTAAGAATGCTGAAAACGTGTTGGAGACCGAGAACAAAGTGGTTTTGGCTTTCCTCAATCATCTCGTGGTAATTATGAGCTTAATTCTTCAATGTTCTTTTGAGCTTAATTCTTCAATGTTCTTTTGAGCTTAATTCTTCAGCTTCTGTTGGTGGTCTTTCTCTTTTCACATATTTATATAATTATATTCAACCTGACTTGTTTCAATAAATGACACAGGGGCCTGAGAGTGATGAGTTGACTGCAGCCTCACGCCTAGAAGATGATGTCAATTTTTACCAGACTACTAATGAAGACATTGCAAAGCTTTTCCACCTTGACCCGAAAACGAACCGCCCAGCTTTGGTATTGCTGAAGAAAGAAGCTGAGAAATTGAATGTCTTTGGTAAGTTTCTTCATTTGATTCTTAGTGATTATGGTATTGCTCTTGTATATTGCTACAGTGACATTGGAGTTTCTTTAACTTGCAGATGGGCAGTTTACCAAGTCTGCAATTGTAGATTTTGTTCTCGCTAACAAGCTTCCGCCAGTTATAACTTTTACCAGGGAAAATGCACCTCTCATTTTTGAAAATCCCATTAAAACGCAGGTAACTTGCTCTGAGTACATTGTCCAATGTCTATATTATTTTTTAATTAATAGATGCTTTGTTTTTAACAGTTCGGAAAGATTTATAATCTCTATATTTATTAGAAGACCGAAGTATTCTTTACAAGTTCAGTTGTTTATTGAATAACTAAAGAAGACAAAAAGAAATTAATTTATTGGTTGGCATTTCTTCCAGATTATACTCTTTGTCACTTCAAAAGATTATGAAAAGGTTCTACCGATCTTTCAAGAGGCTGCAAAATCTTTCAAGGGGAAGGTATATTGACGAGTTTACCCTATAAATTCTTAGTTGACTGGGTCCCTAATTTCTCAATATGACAATAGTTGGCACCGGTTCCATTATGATTTACTTTTTTGTTTTCGAATTTCGCCATTGATTTAGTTTGGAAGTGCCTTGACTTGTTGGATAGTTCCTTCAACAATCTTCTGGGTCAGACATTGGGAAACCATTGCATTAAAAAAAAAAAAAACACTCATGTGTTGTATCAAGTACCACATTACTTGGGTGAGTTACTGCAGCCACTCGCCCCAAGTACTATAGCAACATGGTGAGTTTTGGCTTGACCCATCGAGTCACTGTGAACTAGTTGAGTTCGATGGAAATGCATGATTATAAAGTGGGCTGAAACCTGCCTCCCTTTTTCTTCATTTCTCATCAGAGGGGCACTGATTTGAGCTCAAAATTTGGCTGAACACTGGTTTTTCCATGTCTATCAACTAGATAGTTCAGATTTGTGCCGAGAACGAAATTTCTGACATAGGTTTTGGTTGAATTCAAAAAGTTGTGATGTCTTCTCAATGATTGGTCAGTATTTTATGGAAATCAATCCTTAATCTTATGTTTGGGTGCTTCATTGAGTCATATGCTTGTTTCTCACAAAAAAACTAAAAATCTTGGATGCACAAGATTTTTATTTTTGAATTACTGTTTGCCCAAAATTTTCAATAATTTGGATCAACTAGATCCGAACCCCGGACAAAAATGTGATTTGGGGTTTTCAATTTGGAGGATTGTCATCGAAATTTTGTGTAACTTCCATTTTTTATTTAAATGTGTATAAATGATTTGTTTCTATTGAATCACTTGATATAGTAATTTCTCTGTGCAATGATTTTTCTCAATTTTTTTGAGTTTTTTCCAGACTTCTCTGCCAAATCAGGGCAAATTCAGGTGAGTCCACAAGGACTTGCCTGAGTGACTTGGACTAATCAAGGCCCGCGTTCTGCTCCTGAGCTGCTTTTCTAACACTGTTGAAAACTATCAATAGAAGGGGTAGAGTTATGTGGTTTTCTAGGTTAAGGGAGGAGATTCAGGTGTCAATGGGTGTGCAAGTTCTATTATTTAGAGGATATTTCCATTTCTTCCAGGGGGTGGATAGTGAGTATGGGTTTGGGAGCCCTATGGGAGTGTCTCTAAACCGACCCTTCTCAGTGAGGGGGAACTAATTCCTCCGCAGGATGTTAGTTGTATCGGTCGATCTTGTCTGCAACTAATAGCTTCCAAATTTGATTGATCTTAGCAAGGAAGGTTGATCAAGCGGGTCTCTTCTTCCTTGCAATGTGGTACCATCTGTATTGTTGAGTTGTTTGAATAAATATACTCATGGGTAATCATCTGTAGTTAGGGGGTTTCATCTCTTAATAATACAGATTTGCAAGTGAGATATATATTTATAGAGCAATGATTTCTTGCAACGGTTGCATCATAATATAATGCAACAACCTTAAAAAATCATGTTATGGCCATTTGTTTGATCCAAAATTTGAAATATACACTCTTTTCATTCTAATGAACAATCGCAATTTTTTTTTTATTGAAAACAC